ACTGAGTTGGATCACCTTCCCCACTGAGTAACCAGTTCACTGATAAAGTGGGAGTTAATGTTTACTGTTTCACAGGGGTGCTGAGGATGAACTCATAGCACAGCCTTGAGGCCTGCACCCACCTAAGGCCTGCATGCCTTGCAGACGTGGGACCTGTGGAAAACATGGAGTCCGGCTTCTGTGTTGTTTCGCTGACCTGGGTTCTCTGCATGGCTGGCGACTATGATGTTTAGTCATGTCTTAAAGCAAAGCATGCGGCTTCTTTTTCTAACTCCAGGAAAAGCAGTCTGGTTTGGCTCAATGTTTATCCTTCAGGCAATGGTTCTCAAACTGCAGCCCCCACCCCCCAACCAGCTGTTAGGATCAGCTGTGAGCTTGTCAGACATGCAGTTTCAGACCCTCTCAGACCTGGAAGCCGCCGGGCTAAGACCCAGGGAGTTCCTGCACATGAGGTCCGAGACAAGGCTGCCCATGCACAGCCTTACCTTTGCCCTTTAGCCACTTTCCAAACTCTGTGAGGTCCCTCTCCTTCAGAGAGCCACCCGAGGATGGCAGACCCACTGCCATCAGAAATGCTGACTCCTTCTGTACTCTTCTTCCTGCCCCATCTTTTCCATCCTTTCATTTAGCCTGTGTGTAATTAATGCTGTGCTCTCACAGAACTTGTTCTGGGGCCCGGCGCGGTGGCGCAAGTGGTTAAGGTCCTCGCCTAGCACGCCCGGGATCCCATATGGGCGCCGGTTCTAATCCCGGCAGCCCCACTTCCCTTCCAGCTCCCTGCCTGTGGCCTGGGAAAGCAGCAGAGGACGGCCCAAAGCTTTGGGAACCTGCACCCATGTGGGAGACCCGGAAGAGGCTCCTGGCTTCGGATTGGCATAGCATCGACCGTTGTGCTCACTTGGGGAGTGAATCATCGGACGGAAGATCTTCCTCTCTGTCTCTCCTCCTCTGTGTATATCTGCCTTTCCAATGAGAAAATAATAAAAATAAATCTTAAAAAAAAAAAGAACTTGTTCTGATAGGGAAGACATACCAAAATTAAACAAAATAAAAAATAACAGGACAATAAGTCAGCTATCTGAACATGCAGAGAAATACAGGGCAAAAATAAACAATGGAGAGAGTGAACACATTCCTAAGCAATTTGGGATCAGCATGATAGCAAGCTGATTTTTTCCCCTAAGATTTACCTGTTCAGAAGGTACAGTCATAGATGGAGTTTCCATTGGCTGGTTTACTGACTAAATCCGTGCAGCCGGGAGTTCCATCTGGGTCTCCCATGCAGGTGGTGGGAATCCAAGTCTCTGGGCCATTATCAGCTGCCTTCCAGGTACATGAGTAAGATGGATGGGAAGCATGAAGTAACTGGCATTCCAACTAGGCACTCTGACCCAGGCACTCTGACATCTCAAGAGGCAGCCGAAATTTACTGTTCCACTGGCTCAGCATGACGACTTAGTGGCTAAATCCTTGCGTTGCAAGCACCAGGATCCCACGTGGACAATGTTTGTGTCCCAATTGCTCCATTTTTCATCCAGTCCCCTGCTTGTGGTCTGGGAAAGCAGCAGAGGATGACCCAAAGCCTTGGGATCGTGTACCTGCGCAGGAGACCCGAGAGAAGCTCCTGGCTTTGGAGCAGCTCAGCTCCAGCTATTACAGCCGTTTGGGGAGTGAACAGAAGATCTTTTTGTCTTTTCTCTGTGACTCTGCCTTTCTAATAAAAAATAAAAAATAAATCTGGCATACTTCCCTATGCCATAATGCCTGCTTTGACAGAAGTTCACAGCAGTTCAGATGCTGGTTTGGGTGCCCATGTTGGAGACCTAGATGTACTCTGCACCCAGAGGCATCAGGTTATGGCTTACATACTTGAGTCATTCTGTGTTCTCAGCTCCTGGCTTCAGGTTGGCCCAGCTTGAGTTTTTGTGGGCATCTGGAGGAGCAAAACTGCGGATAAATCATCTCTGCTTTCCAAATACATAAAATCTTAACTACTGAGGAAAGGATTACATACACATGGAAGTCAATTTCCAGTACCAATTGCTTTGATTAGTCTGAATTGCTAGTAAAAATAATGTATCTTCCTTTTCCCAGCAGTGAGACTTGCAAAAAGAGAAGGCTCTCAATCAGCTGAGTGATCATCCCACACTCAGTGGGACTTGGCATTTCAGGCTGTGTAGGAAATCAGAAAAGTTGGTTTACCCGAATCCATAGCTTTGAACAGGACGTTTAATTTCAAATATATCACCAAAGCCATTATCTCAAAGTTCATGAATTCTAAGAGTAGAATTTGCCATGAAATTCTTTCCAGAGTAGGGCATGTTGTCCAAATGGAAGCAATGGTCAATCAGTCATTGCTCTTGTCAAGGTACCTAACATGACAGGTACCTGCATTTGGCGTAGTGGTTAACATGCCACTTGATACTCACATTCCATATCAGAACACCTGAATTTGACTCATGGCTCTACTAATTCCACCTTCCTACTAAAAAGCAATTTGGGACATCTAAATACTTGAAGTATTGTGAGAGTTGTGCACTAAGCTCTGGGTTCCAGGCATGGGACTGGCTCAAGCCCTGGCTATTACAGGCATTTGGAGGGTTAACCAGTGCGCATCTTTCAGGAAAACTTCTTAAAAGTGGACCAAAGCAATGATGGAAAATTTGTAGGCAGAACATTTTTATTTTATATTTAGCAAACATTTATTAAACACCTAAGTTGGTTTTTGCATTTAAGAGATCAACAGCTGACTTGAATCTTTTTTTTTTTTAAGATTTATTTATTTTTATTGGAAAGCCAGATACACAGAGAAGAGACAGACAGGAAGATCTTCCATCCAATGACTCACTCCCCAAGTGGATGGACACAATGGCCAGAGTTGAGCCAATCTGAAGTCAGGAGCCAGGAGTCTGTTCCTGGTCTCCTACATGGGTGCAGGGTCCCAAACCTTTGGACCATCCTCAACTGTTTTCCCAGGCCACAAGCGGGGAGCTGGATGGGAAGTGGGGCTGTTGGGACATGAACCGTGCCCATATGGTATCCCAGTGTGTGCAAGGCGAGGACTTTAGCCACTAGCTTACTGCAATGGGGTCTGACTCTAATCTTTTTAAAAGCCAAGCTACAACAATGATGTATTCCTGAATGGACCAGGGAAATGAAACCATCCTCAATGAATAGGGAGGTAATGAAGCGGAGACACAAGACTTCAAGGAGAAAATACTTGAAAATTGGGCTAAGAGGGGAGAGAAACAAAGAAATTCAGCTCTGTCATTTAAGTGGATAACTCAGTACAGTCAGTCAAACACTTGCCTGATGGATACTGGCCTAGAATACCCATGGAGGCACCCTGAGTTCTAAACTGTTTATCTTTTAAATGGAAAAAGAAAAAAAAAAAGAGGAGGAAGAGAAAGAAAAGACACGAGCCATGTCTCACTCACGGTTAGTGAAGTAGATACTTGAGTTCGAGAACACCAAGAAATGAACAGATATTAAGGAATGAAAGCGGTACTCCCTAGAGGCTAAAAAGCTATCAATATTGTCCGCTCTGCTATCCAGCACATAAAGACATGATATTTAAATTCAGATAAGTAAAGCTAACATTACTCTAGGAGATAACTAAAAATTCAACCTTTCTTGCTTTCACTAATTTTGAAATTAAAGTTTAAAAAAACTAGTTGAGGCTATTACATTGGCTAAGACTCAACTCCACGCTCTGTCACTGGTTGAGAAATGAGTAGGCCCCCTTCCTTGTGGGATCAGCAGGAGCCAGCACACGCCATTTGAATTATGCCTGAGGAGACTTACCTTCTGTCCTGTTTCCCATGCGCAGTCTCAGGACGACGGGCTGCTGTTTCTGACTTCATTGTTTCTCCTTTTACAAAATGTTTGCTTCCTTATGCAGTTGTCTTGTATGTATACAATTCGTCACTGCAATGTGCTCTTCTCTGTGAAACTGTACTGTTAATGTCTTACCAGGCAGACATCAATAGCAGTGAGTGTTCTAACACTGATTTGAAAGATTTCCTGTAAAGAACACTTAGAAAATGTAAAAAATGTGATCTAAATGAGATATCTGAGAACACTTCAATGTGATGAATTTTGCATTTAAAATAATTATTGTTTTAATTTTTTTCTTGAAAGCCTAAACACATTGTGCCCATACCTAGAATCTTATTACTGGACATGTAGCAATTAGCAAGTTTCTAAGCTTGGACAAAATGTCAACTTCCTGGGAGAAGGTACTTGTGCTGGTGATTGAGACATTAGTTAGCGGTCCCTGTGTCCTGGACCCAGGTGTGTGGGTTTGATACTGGCCCCTGGCTCCTGACTTTCTGTGATGCAGACCTTGGGAGGCAGCAGTGAGGGCTCACAGGGGAGTTATATGTCACCACTCACAGGGGAGACTTGTATTCAGTTTTCAGTTCTTGGCTTTGGTCCAAGACCTTTATGGGCATTAAGGGGGTGGACTAGTGAAATGGAACCAGCTCCGACTACTGAAATTTCTAAAAACTACTCAAAGTATATACATGCATATAAATTTATACATTATAAATTTAAATTTAAAGCAATTTAAAAATAAGTTTATACATAAGTTTTAAAGGGTTTAAACTTCTTGGGGAATATTCTTATGTAATTAACTCTAACTTCAGCCCTTTATAGCTTCTTGTAAGTTTATTTAACAACTTAGTGAAAACCAAAATTGATGATTTTTAATATCAATGTGAAAAAAAGTTAAACACAAAATTCCTAAAAAAATAATCATCTCACTCAATATTGATTCCTTCATTATTACCGCCAAACTTCTGTAAAGGAAGCTTTCTAATAAAGAAAGACTAACTGCAACATGAAAGATGATTTAAAAAAAAGTTCATTTACCAATTTTTAACAATCTAGGGAAAAAAAGGAAAATCGACTATAATACCTGATAACAGATATCATATTATAGTAGAAAACATAAGAATAAAAAAATTATCACTGAAAATATTGCACAACTTCAGGGGTTTCCTCAAAATTTGCTTTATGTAATTGGGTGGATATAAATTAATGAACAGAAATTTAAACAAGATACATGAAACAAATGAACAGAACCTAATAATCTAATTTCATTCAATCTTTTGCAAATTCACCTTTAAATCTTTCCATCATGGGGCTCACAAAGGAATGAACTAACACATGGTCAAATCTTCAAAGTACTTATAGTGAAGTCCTCTATAATGTAATTTATAAAGAACATTCAAGAACTTGTCTTTTGAATGTAGAAAACTGTTAGAGTCAAATATTCAACTCAATATAACCTAGCAACTTCATTGTTGAGACAGCTTCTCCTTTCACTAACAAATGATTTTTAGATGTAGTATCACTGAGTTGAACAAAGAAGTCACTTTTGAGTACATAAGAAAAAATAAACACATGCTAAATAAAACATCACTAACTACATTACTAGACCATCTCTACCTCTAACACTTCAGAAGCTTAGAGATTTAGAGTATTCTTACATTAACTGCAAGAAAAATTCTTTTTGAAATCACAACTATGAAGTCATGTGGTTATACAAATTCTGCATTTGTGTGCAAAACATGAAACACATTTATCTTGATTTTCTCTGCTTTGTCTCATCAGTTAGCTAGCAGAACTTAACAAATGTCTTCCCAAGAAACAAAAGACTGAGATGTGTTTATATAACTTCAATGACCTCAGCACTACAGGGAGGAGAGATGCAGTATCCTTTTGCTATGGTTCAAGACAACAAGGAAGGAGGTCACAAGAAAGAACAAATCAGAATTGTTATAACCGAGAAACTATTTCTTATTTAAGTTTCACCATGATGCCACATTCATTTTTACATAAGCACTGGTGGCATAATTCAATAAATCAGAAATCTTAATATTAAAATTTACCTTGACTTTCAATTATCACCATATTAACAACCAAAAGAATGAGATAAAACACATAAGAAATGGTAATATTATATCCCAACTTTACTAGAATTGGTTTCTTGACACCATTAACTTCAGTTTAATAGAAAAGGGATAGTGCATCTCAGTTTGCTTACAAGCTAGGAGACCACTTTGAATTCTGCATTTCCTAACTGCAAACATAATACAGCACTTATAATAGGTTATAAATAAACTGATTTTCAAGCATAGAGCCAGCCCCGACGATAATAATACACTATTTAAAAGGACCTAAGGCAATGAGTTCCATTTCCAATGGAAAAAAAGAACTGTGCAAACAAGCTTAAAACTACTTTTTTTTTTTTGTGCCAGTGTTATAAAATGTAGCTTTTAATAAAACCTTGACCCAAATGCCAGCAACTTCAGAAAAGAATCTGAGTGGGGTCGGGGAGAATGTTAATTCACTTAGGAAAAATAACCACTATCTTTTTCCTAATCTTTAACACACACAATTTAAACATATACAGCTGCTGTAACACTTTACACAATTCCTATGTACTTGAGCAATAATAAGATCTAAATACAATTATATTTTTAAACACTGGGTCAAGGCTTTACATAAAAATACCATCCTAATTTTCCCCCTAGTTTCTAAAATATCACATACTTTCCCGCAACATCTGCAGCCATCCAGGAATTTTTAGGAAACTTTTGTGCATGATCTTAATTCCTAATCCCTGGCTCTTTGGGCTCAGTGACAAAAGATCAAAACCACCAAACTGATGGTTCACTTGAAGTCAGATGAGAGACCCTGGCTCAATTAGTCTCATAGGATGAAAGCAGTGCTGCATCCACTGGCTCCATGCAGGAGGGGCATGTGAAGGATCTCATCAACCAGTCATCTATACAGTCCAGGTGGTAGATGTGCATGCACGGCAGAAATCGAATGGGGTCCCCATACACAAAGTCCATCATACAGATCACACACCTGTTGGGGGTGAGGGAGAAAAATGAGAAGGCATTTTTAGAGAAGTGGCCTATCAGAATTCACTTTAAAACCCTCTTGCAGATGTATTAGTCTGACAAGTCAGAATGGCAACATTCAATTGGCCAGTCATCACAAATGCTTGGAAATGTTCCTAGTAAGTGTTGATTCATGCATATTTTCTTATTCTAGTTCTCCAGCAATTTGCAAAGCTTAAAAGCAATCAACAGAGCAAAGGAAAGAAATCAAATCCACTGATATGCTTCTAAAATGGTATACATTAGGGAACACCTGTAGGCATTTTTAGGTATCTACCTTGTTCCTTGTACTGAGTGTTTAATGTAATCCCAGAATAATACAATTCTCATTTTCATAACAACAACGCAAAAACAGCAGCACTAATCCCAGCCTACTTATCAAGAAACAACCCAGTCCACAGGGTTTCAGAAGGGTCTAGACAGACTATGCTCTGAAGTGTTAGTGCTGAACTCAGCTGGGCGCTTCAGCCAACCATCCACAAATGAAACCACACCATGTCTCTTCTGGTGAGGCCAGCGGCAACAAAAGAAAAATGCGTGTTCTCATCAGGGACCTCATTGACAGTATATACCACTGGAGAAACATTCCCCATAAATAAACTTTTCAATTCATCAGGCTTAATAGAATTATTTCACAGTTTATAAACAGACCCCAGTAGGCAATGGCTTAGGTTGCACTGTACCTAGACAAGTGTTACACTGCCTGGGTTATGTTAATTATACCAGTGCACCAGCATACTCACATATTCGTATCTTTTTTAAGATGATGGCATGCCAACAGTGTCTGGGGACCCACATGACAGTGTGTTTTGGCCCTGGGTAGACAGACAGGGCCCCAAGCTGGAAGAGTACACCACCAGAGGCCTGGGCATGGGGACTGTGGATTGCTCAGGGAAATGGGTCTGGAGATGTGTGGGAGGGAGAACTGCTGAGGGAGAATGTGACAAGTAAGGAGTGACTTCTGGGGGACTTCCGCCAACTAGGATTCTGCACTTGCAGGTAATGAGGAGGTGAGACAGGGTGGTTTAGAGGAGGGAAACTAGAGGATGTCTGGGGCCAAACCAATACATCAGCCCACGTTGGAGACCTGAGCTCGGATTGTTCACATCAACCACCACCTACTGGTACATACAAAAGCCATGGCTGGGGGGCCTGCCCAGCAGAGCTCAACCATAGTACCCACCAGTGAGAATTGGGGCAGGGGGTAGGCCATATTGATCTGGGCCATGACACTAACCAGCCCACAAGAGAACTGGGTCTGGGGGCAGATTCTGTGGAGGGTCATTTGCTCACCCCTGTGGGACTGCCATATTAGCTAGTTGCTCAAGGGCTGGGGGTGGTAAAGGTGGTGATCTAGGCATGACCATGGAACTCAACAAAACTCATGGGTATCAGGTTTGGGAACAGGATAAGGTAGTTCAGGCTGTAGCTCTGGCAGGCACACCAAAGAATTGAGCAACAACATCCACCAGCATACACAAAGGCCAACACTGCCAGGTAAAGGCCTAGCACCTGTTGGCAGAACTTGGGAAACTCCTCTAGTGGGCCATCACTCCGCTTGTGAGCACATGAGTCAGGGCTGGATGCTGGTTAGACAGGCAGAGTTGCTTCACTTGTTGACAGCTGTGTGGGTTGGCTCTTGGGGTCAGAGGAGGATGTAGACTGGGCAGGCCAAACCAAACTATACTGGCATATGAGGGAGCCAGGATGGGCTGCAGGCCAAGCCAAATTAGGTCAGGCTATCACACCTACTGATCTGCACGAAAGCCAGGGATGGGGAAAGGCTGGGAAAGACTAGGCTGCAGCACCCACCAGCAAAAGTTGGGACTGCGGGCGGGCCAGACCAGGCCAAGCTGCAGCATCTGATGGCAAAGGCCAAGCTAGGAAATGGGTTATGCTAGCCTGGGTCTCAGAGTAACCCAGCATGTGCAAGATCTTGGTCTGGGAGATAAATAAACCATACTGAGCATTTTATACATAAAACTCTAGTGAGAAGGAATACAGCCCTATGACTACCTTTAATGGTTATAGAACCTTGAAAATACTGACAAACTTTTACAAAAACCCGCTGACAAGCCCATCAGTGATGTTGGCCTCAGTTCACATTCACATGGCTGGAAAAGATTGCAATTATCAACTGTAATCTAAGTGGAGAAGCAGCAAGACTATAAATACAACCATTTCTTAAGTATGTCTGACTTCCAAAGTACAGAAGGAAAAGTATAAGTTTATGAAAACTTACTCCCGGATCTTTTTCTCTGATCCATCCCTTCCAGGGTCATACACTCCTTTCGGCAGATGCTGTATAAGGCCTATTCTTTGAGCTATCCTGATTTGTTCCTCTTCAGTCAGCTGAGTGGCTAGCCGAGTCTGGCTGGGTGTTGGATGATACACTGGAACAGGAACTTGTTCCTAAACATTTAAAAGTTGAGAAAAAGCATTATTCTTAAAAATGTTTTCTGGAAATGTTTTCCTTTCAATGGAGGTAAAAAGTTGTATATGGCAGGAAAGGGTGGTTCCAGGAGAGACAGGGGCTGGCCTGCTATGCAGACTGTGTTTTTGTCTTAGCTATAGGAACAAATTATAAATATACAGATACATCAAAAATCTACATTTATTTTTAGGACCTACTTTTAAAGGATATAAAAACAAATAACAAAGACTCACATGGAATGTTAATTTAGGAAGTTTCACATAAAGTTCACATAAATGGATGCTCATTCTGAATATACCAACAAATAAACCAATATAAAGAGATCTGACATGCAATTAAAAAAAGCTACAATGTACTCGATAATCTAATTTAATATTCTATAGGCTGCAATGAAGTTGTCTACATTCAGTATGCCTAACAGATGTACATTACTAACTTGCCATTAGACCCACGTTTATAATCCTAAAATTCATTTATTATGTATTTTAACCATTGGGTTTGCTGCAAATATTTTGGGACTAAAATACATATCCTGTATGACCAAAAACTGAGTGATCCTTTAGTTGTTGATCACCAAAAATCTTGTTTGGCACATTGCTTCTTCAAGGTTTTGTACCCAGTAGGCAAATTAAAAAAAAAAAAATCATTTTTATTGCAAAGTCAGGTATATACACAGAGAAATATCTTCTGTCCAATGATTCATTCCCCAAGTGACCTCAATGGCCAGTGCTGCACCGATCTGAAGCCAGGAGTCAGGAGCTCTTCTGGGTCTCCCATGTGGGTGCAGGGTCCCACGGCTTTCCCAGGCCACAAGCAGGGAGCTGGATGGGAAGTGGGGCTGCCAGGACTAGAACCTGTGCCCACATGGGATCACAGTGCATTCAAGGCGAGGACTTTAGTTGTTAGGCCACAGCGCTGGGCCTGCAAACTTTGTAAGGAACTTTCATAGTTAAGTAAGAAATATTGTTTCTGCACTGCCATTCGTTAACTATATGATTGAATATATAAAAACTAGTACAATGGGACCTGTACTGTGGCACAGAAGGTAAAGAAGCCACATGCAGTGTTAGAATTCCACATGGGTGCTGGTTCAAGACTCAGCTGCTCCACTACAGTCCCAATTCCCTGCTAAGGGCCTGGGAAAACAGAGTAAGAATGCCCAAGTGTATGGGCCCTTGCATCCACAGGTTTCTGGTTAATGGCTTCAGACCAGTCCAGGCCAGCCACTGCAACCATTTAGGGAGTAACTCAAAAGAGAAGACCATTCTGCCTCTTTGTAATTCTTTCAAAACAGGTAATGACTCAAAATTTGGGTCCCAGCCATCCACACAGGAAGTCAGAGCTCCCCGTTCCTGGCCACTGAGTTACCCTAGTGGCTGCTGGTGCTGCAAGTATTTGGGGATTTGAGAATGGGAGACTTTTGTCTCTTTATCTCCCTCTACCCGTACCTCTCCTCTCTTACTTACTAATTTCAAAGGCAGAGTTTCAGAAGGGAGAGACTGAGATGGATCCTCCATCCCAGAAGGGCCAAAACAGCTGAGGTTAGGCCAGTCTAAAGCTGGAAGAGCCAAGAGCCTCTTCCAGGTTTGCCATTGGAAGCAGGGCCCAAGCACTTGGGCTATCCTCTGTTGCTCACCCACAAACATTGGCAGGAACTATATCAAAACAGCCAGAAATCACAAGGGGTGCCAGTATTTTTTGCAGGTGGCTGCTTTACCCACTATGCTATAGCACAAGCCCCAAAAAACAGATTTTCAATTTTCTTTTCCGATTCTATGAAGAGAGACTGGCATCGCAGCTCAACAGGCTAATTATCTGCCTTCGAGTGCTGGAATCCCATAGAGGCACCAGTCTGTGTCCTTGCTGCTCCACTTCCAATCCAGCTCCCTACTTCTGCATAGGAAAGCAGCAAAGGATGGCCCAAGTCCTTGGGTTCCTGCACCCACATGGGAGACCCAAAAGAAGCCCTTGGGTTTTGGCTTCAGATCAGCTTAACTTCAGCTGTTTCTGCTACTTGGTGAGCGAACCAGCTCGACTGAATGATCTTTCCTTCTGTTGTTTCTCCTCTCTGTGAATCTGCCTTTCCAATAAAAAGAAAAAAAAAAGAACTCTATGAAGAAACATATTAATAGATACTAAGAGGAAAAAAATATCTTTTAAATATATGAGTCAGAGAGACAAAGGAGGCCTACCATCAACATGTTCATTCCCCAAAGGCTAGCAGCTGCCAGGATTGAGGCATGCTAAAGCCAGGAACCAGCAACTTCACACCAGCTTCCTATGTGAGTGTCAGCCTTATCTGAGCTATCACTTGTTGCTCCACAGGGTGCACCCTGGTAGAAAGCTAGAGCTGAAGCAGAGCCAGAAGCAGAGCCAGTACTCAAACTCAGAAAGTCCAATATAAGATGTGAGTTACTCAAACAGCATCCTAAGGTGCTATGCCAAACACGCACCATACAAAGTTCATATTATCGGTGTATTTGTCATTTTGGTAGTTTTGTTTGTTAAACTAAAGAAACCCTTCTCAGGACCTTCTAGATACTTCTAGATATGATTCAACAATCTGATTTTGATTTACATGCAACCTTTTACAAAGGGAAGGAAATGACTAAGGCATCCTGATATTTAAAGATTACGGCTTCAACCGTCTTACAACATACCCCTCATTTTTCACATTTTCTTATCATATCTATCTTACAGTGGTAAGATGTCCCTGTTATCAATTATTTGGTAACTAGAAAGACACTGAAAGAAATAGACAGCATGAAAATGGCAAATTTTAAAAGATTTCTGGGAGGCGGTTCCTACTTTCTGAGACTCACTGAGCTTAAACTCATTGTGTAGACAGTGAGTTATGTTCAACACCTGCTTTTCCTCTGAGAGTCTGAATTTTGGTTACGCACTAAGCAGTGGGTGCCCATTCAGTACTCTAATGAGCACCGAGTGTCCAATGAGTTTCCCATATAGACAACCCTTCACACATGCACAGTAGAGAAATTAACTAGGTCCTGCAATGTGTTGAATCATAGCACTCTTAACCTGAGAGTAATTTACTCTGCACCTCTCCCTTTTCTGGGTTTGCTTTGTATTCTTTTATTCTAACAACTCATAACTGTGAATACAATTACATGCTAAGCCCTAGGAGTTTTCCAAACTTAGGGGTTGTCTTAAGGATCAAACTTAGGGATTATCTAAAGGGCCCCAATGCCAGTGATGGAGTTTGTGTGCACAGCAGTTGTATTTCGTTCCTAGATGAAAAAAATAAAAAGTTAAAAAAATATTGAATATTCTGAATATCCTATGTTCCAGGGCCTACGGGCAGCTCTGGCAGTAAGAAGTATGCCTTTTTCAGACAGTGTTCAGAGTGCTGACAGCACCTGCAAAGACTTCTGTGCCTCTAAATTATGTAGTGTTCATTAGGAATGATCGCTGGTGGAAAAAGTGTGCTTTAGTGTGATAATGGCAATTGTCTAGTACTTGCTTTACATCTATTTTCTCAAAGCAAATTTAAAAAGAAGCTGAAGGAATTTAGTACTTATGTTTAAAAAGTTTTGTTTAGTTATTTGCAAGGCAGAGTGAGTGAACGAGAGAGAGAATGAATGAATTAGATACAGGGAGAATATTTCACATCTTCTGGTTTACAGTAATGGCTGAGGCTGGCCAGGCCAAGGCCAGCAGCCTGGACTCCATGCAGGTCTCCCACATGGCTAGAACCCAAGGTCTGTGATCATCTTCTCCTGCTTCCTCGGGCACACGAGAAGGGGCTGGACTGCAAGTGGAGCAGCAAGGACTCAAACTAGGGCCTATTTGGGATGCCAGTGTTTAAGGCCATGGCTTGGGCCCCGCGCCATGGCTTAGCGATTAAAGTCCTCGCCTTGAACGTGCCGGGATCCCATATGGGTGCCGGTTCTAATTCCAGCAGCTCCCCTTTCCATTCAGCTCCCTGCTTGTGGCCTGGGAAAGCAGTCAACGACCCAAAGCCTTGGGACCCTGCACCTGTGTGGGAAACCTGGAGGAAGTTCCTGGATCCTGGCTTCGGATCGGCATAGCATCGGCTGTTGCGCTCACTTGGGGAGTGAATCATCAGACTGAAGATCTTCCTCTCTGTCTCTCCTCCTCTCTGTATATCCACCTTTCCAATAAAAATAAAATAAATCTTAAAAAAAAAAAAAAAGGCCATGGCTTGACTCATTGTACCAGAACACTGGCACCAAAGGTAGCATTTTTGAACATTTATTGTACATTAAAAAAAAAAAAAAAACACATACAGGAGACCATGTCAGAACACAGGGAGAAGGAAAGAGGCGTCAGGAGATATTTTGAATTTTAGTTTTCTAACTGTATGAAAATAAATTTGTTGCTTAAGTTACCTAGTGTGTGGTATTTTATTATGGTAATTATAATAAGCAGATTAAGATGTGATATTTCACAATTATTTATTCCATCCATTGGTTCACTCCCCAAATGACTGTAATGTTTAGGGGAGGGATTAAAGGCAAGAGGTTGGGACCTGCAAGCTAGGCATAGGTTCATGCCCTAGCTGCTCTACTTCCCATCCATCCTGCTCTTGGCTTAAGGCCTGGGAAAACAGTGGAGAATAGCCCAAGCCTTGGCTCCTTCATCTGCGTTGGGAGACCTGCAAAGAAGCTCTTGGCTCCTGGCTTCAGATCTGATCAGCTTTGGCAGTTATGGCCATTAAGGGAGTGAACCAGTATGTGGAAGATCTTTCTCACTTTGGGTCTCCTTTTCTCTATAAAGTCTGCCTTTCCATTAAAAATAAATAACTCTTTAAAAATGAAGATTGAAAAAGATAGATAGGCATAGGCATAGCTTAAACTCAGATTCCAAGATTATCTAGCTTAAATGCATGCTTTACCACCAGGCTTTCTAAACAGATTAACAAGTAAGTTAAATAAGAGAAAAGTTGGGGCTAACATGGTGGCATACAAAGCTAAACTTTCACCTTCAGTGTCAGAAT